ATAATGGTTTAGTGGCAAAAGGATTAGTGCAATCCACCACCAAACGAATGTTGCTGAGTGTTTAAAGATGTCAGATGGGTGAAAAGTTAAACTGTCCAATAGATCGGTGAACCTGGGTTAGAGGAGTCCCCAGGTGGGATCATGCTATGGACAAAAGAAGAAAAATCTCTCACCTTTTTTAGTGCTCCTGGAATGAACCTCAGGAGTATCAATATCAACAATAGTACCATTTCCTTCTATTACCCTGTGTTCTAGTGATGTCCTGCAGGTTAGGTTCACTACAGCATTCATAGCCATTCTATACAGATGCCTCTGGCCATTTAAAGGTGAGTCCAGAGCTATAGACAATGTTTTTTCGTTCATTTCTGAAAAGCTTTTCTCATTCAGAATTCGAAATTTGGAACAGGAAAGTTTCCAGCTAAACAGAAAACAAGCAGAATCTGGTTTTTAAAAGGTTTAGGTGATCAAATAAATGTTGGCTTCAGAGGTAGCCCCTTTGTAAAAATAAGCACACTGTATCTCTGATAGAAGAAACTTTAAGTCAATCCAGTAATTAGCTAGATGCCGAAACAATTGCAAGCATAGATAATAAATTGATCAACAACTGTCAGGTTGCATGAAAATTTCTGAAACTCAGGGTTTGGATTTTGTTTTCCCACTTGGACAAAATTTTCAGAATTCTCTGGACATATTCTGATTAACACAGAAGAAAACAGGACCTATATTAAACAAACACATCCTTGAAAACACACCTGGGTCTGATGGATTTACAAGGTGAGTTTTTTTCCCCTAAGCCTTTGAAGAATATATTATACAAATTATCCTTGATTATTGAAAAGTATGGTATATTTCTTAAAATTATCCACAGAGGAAAATGTGCTGAGAATGATACGGGGAGAAATGATACAAAAAGGTATACCTATATTAAACAAACACATCCTTGAAAACACACCTGGGTCTGATGGATTTACAAGGTGAGTTTTTTTCCCCTAAGCCTTTGAAGAATATATTATACAAATTATCCTTGATTATTGAAAAGTATGGTATATTTCTTAAAATTATCCACAGAGGAAAATGTGCTGAGAATGATACGGGGAGAAATGATACAAAAAGGTAGGAATAATACAAAAGGCAAGAATTTACAAAAAAAGAAAAACAGGGCCTATTCCAAACCCTACTATTCAGTGTGGAGCCACTCCATGCCAGGCACTGTACACGCTTTTCACACTTTAGCTTTTTATTATCTGTGCTTGCAATTGTTTCGGCATCTAGCTAATTACTGGATTGACTTAAAGTTTCTTCTATCAGAGATACAGTGTGCTTATTTTTACAAAGGGGCTACCTCTGAAGCCAACATTTATTTGATCACCTAAACCTTTTAAAAACCAGATTCTGCTTGTTTTCTGTTTAGCTGGAAACTTTCCTGTTCCAAATTTCGAATTCTGAATGAGAAAAGCTTTTCAGAAATGAACGAAAAAACATTGTCTATAGCTCTGGACTCACCTTTAAATGGCCAGAGGCATCTGTATAGAATGGCTATGAATGCTGTAGTGAACCTAACCTGCAGGACATCACTAGAACACAGGGTAATAGAAGGAAATGGTACTATTGTTGATATTGATACTCCTGAGGTTCATTCTAGGAGCACTAAAAAAGGTGAGAGATTTTTCTTCTTTTGTCCATAGCATGATCCCACCTGGGGCGGGGGGGGGGGGGGGGGGGTGGATGCGACCAAAAAGAGTGCAAAAACTCCTCTAACCCAGGTTCACCGATCTATTGGACAGTTTAACTTTTCACCCATCTGACATCTTTAAACACTCAGCAACATTCGTTTGGTGGTGGATTGCACTAATCCTTTTGCCACTAAACCATTATATGATTTTGAAAATTCTTTCCTGCATCAAATTTAATTATATTTACTGGAAGAACATGCTACTTGAGAAGTTGCTGCATTTTTACTCAGAATCTTACCTTTACCTTTTTAGGCGTTAAGTGTTCATTTCAGGAATTAAGATGTAGTTAGAACACAGGAAGCATGTACTTCAGGTGTGCTTAACTGTTTGCTTACACACCTACATTTGACTGCCTGGGATGGCGGACAGGGCTGAAATTTCAAATCTAAGTGTAGCGAGACACTGACCTTTGAAGATCTAGCGGCATAGTGGTTCTGAGATGCTCCCCAAATGCAACAGGGGACTGGTTAAGTGTTCAGAGACTATAATGCACATACATTATTGTAAGAACTCATCTAGTGTCTTGGTCAATACACAAAGCCTCTTTTTCTTGAGTCATGCCCCCAATCATGCCTAAGGAGAAGAACAGAATAGAAAATGTTGGCTAGATCTAACCACTCTACTAAAGTGGAGAGTAATTCCAAGGTGAATCCACCCCGGAGAGCAAATGGGCCTTTGAAAAATGCCAAGGGGAGGGAATAGTAGTTTCCTAATGCCTTTGAAAATACTCCCCAGTGGCTTGGTGGCATGGAAATTTGCCTAGCTTTGGTTGTGGAGTTTCTGCTACCTTGGATAAAAGAAAGTTTGCCAGACTAAAATTTGATTATGAGGTTCCTCTTTCCTCCAGTATGGGAAAGAGACAATAATAAAGTCTTTTTTGCAATTTCCACTGGCCAGAAATTTCAAGCAAGTGATCATGTTGAAGTTGTATTATCCCAAGAACTAGCAAATTAACCTAGGTATGCCTGAAATTTGTGATAAAACAACTATTTCAGCAACTCAGTAGTGATAAATTGAGCCAGTTTGTGTACTAGAGGAACCCTAAGTGTCCCACAGGAGATGTGGTTTGCAATGGCAGAGAGAGGTAAGAGAACCTGTGTTGACCTAAGTTATGTTTAGTATAAAGACTCCTTTGTTGACGCTTTGTGATAACAGTTCCTCATTTGATAGATCATCCGGTACAACATTATATAATTTGGCCTTGCCTTTCTCTCCAGCCTACTGTGGTGGCCAACACCTTGCTATGCTATCACAGCCCCCTTCCTCTGTGTCAGACAAATTGGACTTTTACTATAGTGTAGGCAACTTGGCAAGTCCGAAGGCAAGTGGAGGGAGGTGGGTAAGAATAAGAATCTTTATTCCATTTTTTCAAATAACTAGACACCTCTCTGTTTCACTTACACTAGGATTCTCTCCGTTATTACAAAGTGTCAGATGCTGTCCTGATGATATTCACAATACTTGCCAAAAGCCATTGGGGGTTTTCTCAATTATTTGAAAGGCAGTTTGTACCCAGTCTTCTCCTCCCAACCATTAGGATCCCGATCCTCTTCTCTTATATTTTACAAACAGAGATTGATTTCTTGCCTGATATTAACTGGAGAGTTGCATTTGGATCAGTTCGGCAGAATTACAAAGTATAATCAGCCTAAGACTTCATTCCACTCCTTAACCTAACCGCTGCTTAAATATCTCCTGCAATGTTTTTGCACTTTCTGCAGAGCATATAGAACTCTGTCCTAGGGTGAAGCCGTGGAAGGCAGGAAAGCAGCCGTGAATCCCTATGAGCTTGTCACGGAGGACCCTGCCTATGCGCGTGTTATCAACTACAATTGTCTCTGTAAAATTAAATAAAAGCATGCATTTATTATTGTGGGGCTCCAATTAAGGGACAGCTGGTGCTCCTATTACACTTGAATTAAGTCAAAACTTGTAATTTAGCTGTCCAGATGCACATTTAACCCCAAATATAAAACTGTATTGGCTTTATCCATTTTCCATTCAAAAGTATCTGGAACCGTACCTCAGGACTCCTCCTACTCTTCGAACTCTGTTGAAGAAGAGGTACTATTTGCACTGGTCAGCATTTCCCTCTTTGATGTTCTTAGAGAGAAATAAGGGATTAGGGCATTTATAGAAGGGAGAAGACCCCGGAGGAAGGCAGCAGGTGAGTATTTACTTAGCCTGCGGT